GGGAACGTGGCCAAACTCCTCCCCCGGCCGCGCGGCCCCCTGACGCGGGGCGCCGGCCGCAGCCAGGCGGGCCGCGCTCCGCGCCCCGGGACTCTGGCAGCTTGCCCGGGTTCCTCTACATACATATGCATACGCACGCCCCCGCCTTGCCCTAGTCCGCCCACCCACACACACCTTGCATCCATCCCCGCTCGGGTTATGGCCAGGAAGCCCCCTCCTTACCTACCGGCGATTCTCAGCGAGGGTGCCACAGTACCCTCGGGTGCCCCCAGCTCCTTTGAAAGGGGCCACAGAGGCGAGCGAGGTGTGCGAGAGAAGAATCGTGGGGTTCAAGCTTGTCCCTTACTGGCCAAACCTGCCCCAACCCCAACTCCTCACCCCCCTACAAATTGCAATAAGTGCATGACCTTTTTGGGAGGGTGGGGAGGGGACATCCCACTCACAAATGCTATGGGGGGGGGAGGTGAATCCACTGTGGGGCCACAAGTCCAAAAATGTTGAGAACCACGGATAGAGAAAAAGCAGGGGCCAATAAATCACTTGAACTGGTGTCTGCTTCACCACAGCATATTGGCTCTGAGATCAGTTACATTTGAATTCAAGACTCAAGGTCATGCTACTGCTACCTAGGGAGAGCACCAAGGGCCACGCCTGGCCTCAAGTTCTTTCACTGGACTGGTAACAAATGAATTGCAGTATTTCCATGAGGCCCAATCATTCTTCACAACACTGGTCATCCTTGTAGAAAAGCATCCTTCAACAACATCTAAGACAGGGGTGGGCAAAATGTGGCCTGGGTACCAGATGGGGCCCATCAGGCCATTCTATCCAGCCTGTAGGGCCTCTAAAATTTTAGAAAAATAATATATATCTGCCCATGGCTGCCTGTAATGTGGCCCTCAATGGCTTGCCAAAACTCAGTAAGTGGCCCTCTGCCCAAAATAATGGCCTGCCCGTGATCTATGAGCACTCATTTTTGTTTTGCCATCTGGCTTCTTGGAGAAAGATACAGAAAAGTGTTTTCTTTATGGTTACACAGCATGTAGACATAACATACCTACTTAAAGACCCCAAGCCATGAGGACACACTGATATGGTTGGTAGAAAAGGGAAGGTAAAAAAAAATAGAACAGAACAGAAACTACAGAAGTCTGATTGGTCTTTGCTCCTGTAGGCATTAGTTTCGACTACAGCATGCTGTGGCACTGGATTTTTGTAAGTTTTATGCTCAGCCACAATCCAGCTGCCACCACATTGCTCCAATCCAGCCTACAGGTCACAAGGGCATGAATAACTGAGAATAGATCATCATCCACCAGGATGGGACAACCTCCTAGAGAAAGCACTTTTCCTTATAAAAAAGTTCAACATGATCAAAGAGTCCAGGAGCACTACTAGCCTATGGAACTGTAGATGTTCAACAAAAAAGGAGCATTCTTGAGAACTCTTCAAACTTTTGTTTTGTGCTCACCAGCATCACCTCTGCCTTGCTTAGGTGCAAGCTTGAATCAGCTCTCTTCAGCCATAACTGATTGTGTCCAAGCACTGGCTACCCTGGTGGGAATATTGTGGTTTGTATGCAAGGAGGATGAGCAGATCTGTGAATGACTGTATCTAATGCAGTGGTTCTCAGCCTTTTCAGACTCAAGGCAGCTCTTCAAAAATGCCTAAAGCTCTTAGCTTTCACTTGTTTTTTGATCATGGAATAGAGCAAGTCTTCTGTGAAAAGAACTCAAAAAGACCACAGCAGGTCAGAATATTTTTGATTCTATGGATTCCTATTTAAAATCTTTAGGTTTACCTTTTGAATGGTGTGCAGGTGTTTGCACACCTAACAGTGCTAATATTGTATGGCATTCTAATACATCCTTAAAAAGTTGCCACAGTAGCTTGGTTGAGAATCACTAATCTGATGTCACCCAACAAGTCCCCCAATCACTGTATCTAGATGTTGAGGACCAGAGAAAGTAGCAATCATGGTAGCATGCTAAATCAGGTGCAATTTGCTCATTTCTATGCATTCGGTGTGCACTCCAAGAAAGAGTCAATCCATTTTACTGCATAACCTTGGCCCTCTACCACCTTTCTTCAGCAAAATCTGATGGACACCAGTGTCAAATGCTTCATAGAGATTCAAAGGATAAGAATAGATGCCAGCCTCCTGTCAAGTGGCAGCAGTAACTCATTCATCAAAACACATAAAACACTTAAAAAATTATTTTAACAAAATCCTTTTACCAACCAATCCTGTGTGTCCAGCAAACACCCAAAGCATTTGCATTACCCAAATAGCGACTAACTATAGCTTTTACTTTGCATTTCAGCTTAGATTTATAAATGTAATTGTTTAATCATTTGTATACCAGGACTCACAAAAAGACAGAATGTAAGAAAGAAAAACCCAAATAGAATTGGTTGTTACCATCCTGGGCTTATTCAGACTCTATTCAGAACAAAGGGAACTGAATTAAACCTAATCTCAATATCTGTCACTTCCAAGCCTGCATAACTTAACTGGAACCTCTTGGCCTTAGCTCAGCATTACACCAAGGCAGAGTTTGGCCTTGTTTTTAATAAAGCAAGCCAGAGTTCATGCAAGAGTTCATGTAAATTTGATTCTTTGAATGAAATATCACCACAAACTCTGATGTCTTCAACAGAAACATATGATAAACACAAAGCTTAAGGGAATTACATTCCTTTGGGGTTTGAGCTAATGGAATATATGAGACTCCAACACAAAGACAATCTTTAGAGTACAGAATTCTATTAATTCCATGTCAACATCCAATGTATGCATGCACACATGCATACATCCACCCCTCCCCACTCACCCCAGGGAAATAGCCCTTCATGGGAGTATCACAAAGCAAGTTACAGGTGAGAATCTTGGATCTATCACCTGGTTTTCAACTATATACAATTACTATTTGATACAAGATACCCTACAAATTAATTTCTGCCATTGAATGACCAAATAGAGTGAATTACAGCTGATCTACTCCTGAAATAAAAGGGAAGACCATTGTTTCTTTTGTATGATACAGACATGTGAGACTAACCAGAGTGAAAGGAAGGGATAAAAACAAGAAACAGATATTGCACCTCCTGACCCACAGATTGCATAAATGGAGTCTGTTGGAACAAGAAAAAAAAATAAAGCTTCTTATTTAGAATCCATAAATTTATACTTAAGGACTTCAGATTTGTTGCCCAGTTTAGCATATGAGACTATTAATTGTAACTGTCCTGATGCATTACTGTGAAAGACTCCAGGCAAGCTCATTACTAAGGGCACTCTGAATACCTGGCAAAATGCCAGTCAGAAAGCAAGCAACTTCCCCAGGTTAATGGAAAGGTTAACTTGCTTATATAATACTCTACATCATGATCCCCAAGAGTTTGTACATTATCACCAGGAGTCACCAACTTCCCTCACTTGAAGTGGGATTTTTAAGGAGAATCCTTTCCCTGCTTTCTGGGCTTCCAGCTTCAATTTGTCTATCTTCTGGTGCACAAAGTGGATGGTGCTGACCAACATGGCCTGTAACTGGGGAAGCAGCAGGAAGACAAGTTTATTTTCATGGTAATGGTTGGGTGTCAAGAAAGAGGCAACAGCTTCTGTCACAAGTTGGCTCAGGAATCATCTGCACTGAAGAAGTTTTCTATGGTGTAAATTGTACAGTGTCCCTTGCATGTTTGTAACAGTTCTAGAGTACAGAAGGGCTTCTACCTGCACAAAGGCATCACAAGCACCATCTAGATTATTCTTGTTTTAACAACCATGTCAGTCTCCAATAGCATAACAATGCCAACAAAGCAAATAGGTCTGTCCCTCTACCATCCCATAGTGCTTGGAGTAACCAATTAGGTACACTGTCTGTCACCTTCGGCATCCCCTTGCCCAGGGTTCTAGCTGGCAGGAAGTCACTTGCTTCTTAGACAATAGACCAGAAGCTATGATGTATGAGAGTTAAGCTACATCAAATCATTGAAAATACAGACTTAAAGAAAAGGAAAAAAAAAAGTCTGTAGCATTTTTGTCACCATTTTACAATGCCATCGTTGACATGCCACCAAAAGGATGCATACTGAAAAGAAACATATACCCAACTCCACCTAAAAAGCCCTTTACAGTGACTACATCCTCTATTGAACAGCACTGCTGAGTCTTGCCTTGCCTGTTCATTTGGAAAGTTTTTTCCATTTTAAAATTGTTGGGTTCACCTGGAGGTTTTGCATGCCAGAACAAACTGGATGACATTGGAGATACGTTACTGATTTTTTTGTGCATTGGTAGTCAAAGTAATTGCCTTCTGGCAGGTCTCAGTTTGGATCATGGAGTCTCCCAGCAACTTTATTCCCCTAAACCAGGAGTCAGCAAAGTTTTCCAGCAGCAAGGGGGGGGAGGGAGGGGCAAAATGACCCATCTTAGATGGGAGGAAGG